GACTTCTGTGAGATTTTTCCTGTTGTACATCCCTTGGGTCCCCCTCCCTCCCTATTCCTACTTTTTGTCCCTTTTAAAAATTTCTGCTAGTTTATGGTGCCCTTTGTGCCCTAGTAAAATCCTCCTTACTGTTGGCCATGATGCTTGTCTCTTTTGCCTTGGCGAATCCCATCAACCAGCCTCTTGCTCCATTTGCAAGAAATTTACTAAACAAGCTCTTAAACTGAGACAGTAGCGTCTGCGGTCTTATTTGTGGTAAAGATCTCTTTGCCCTACTTCGGCTTTGGAGCCCGCACAGCTGCCTCCAGCTCAACTACTGTCTCCAGATGCTTCAGTGGTCTCCTCGGTTAAGTCTAAATCTAAAATGAAACTGCCTTCCAAACCTAGGGCGGGTGGTTCAAGTTGACACTGGTACCTAAGTTGACACTGGTACCAAAGTCTCCTTCAGTACCAGACCAGCAGTCGAAACTGAAGACTAAGAAGTCGTCGTCTACTTTCCAATCCTCTAAACATCAAAAGGATAAAGTGCCCTCTTCAGTCCCTATTCAGGACCAACAGACCATTTGTGTTGACTCAGTCTCTATCGAAGGTGACAACTATCTTCCCCCCGCCTTCTGGACAACCGCCATCTCCCTTACTGGCACAGTCTCCTTCCTAAATGCTAACCTGTTTTGTTCCCTGCAACAAACTACATGAGCAACTAATTTAACCAGTTGTATCTACAGGTCTGTTGATAAAGGCACTCTTGAGATCCTCATAGGCCACGTGCCATCCATGCTGATGCCACACTGATAGTAAGTATCTATCTGTGGTAGACTGGAAAATCTTGCCATTAGTCCCAGAATGAAATTGAAATGATGGCACTGCTTCCCATATCTATGGCTGAAGGATAAGATGCCAAAGAATGGAAGCTCTTTTCACATGCATAATAATAAATCCATGCCTGGTCTTGTCCTGTAGCAAATCACAATCTGTAGCCTCCGGCAAGGCACCTGGGAAGGATAACATCCCTGCTGTGTAAAGCAGTGGTCCCCGACCTTGGGCCTCCAGATGTTCTTGGACTGCAACTCCCAGAAGCCTTCAACACCACCTCTGCTGGCCAGGATT